TAAAATGACTAAATGACTTGTGACTTAGTCATCAAGTCATTTAGGTCACATCCGGTCATGTGCCAACACTGATATTCTAAACGAGGAATGAGAACTATATTGTTAAGATAGCGCAATTGTTTGTCAGTTAATGATTTGAATCTAAGTTTGTCTCCGAAAGACGCAATTTTCAAAGAGATTTGGTGTTTGATGAATTTCTTATTGTATTACGCAGAGATCCATATACCAAGATATCGGGTCGAGTCCCTAGGTGAGATATTTTTGCATTCAAAGGATGAGTTATCGAAAGAGTTTTGAAATAAAATTGATTCAGTGTAGTTGTTATTAGTTATCAAATATGATTAATCAAAATTGACTTTCATTGAATTCAACTTGTAAAACGTCTGGGTTATATTGAGGATGCTAGACATTTAATCGTAACTATCTGCTATCCAAATAGTATCATCCATGTATACGAGAACAGGTATGGTAACATTAAGAGATTCAGTTTCAGAAGTATCGAGATCAGGATTCCAAGTGGTAGACAATTTAAATCCAAATTCAGATTTTCTAATTCGATCGAAAAGAGGATCATCATAGATGACACACAAAAGAGGAGAAATAACTTCGCCTTGATCGATGCCAATGAGGACATCATAAGGATCGGTAAGATCATAGTTAGTAAAAATTTGGTTAGAACAGTTGAAAAAGAGTCTTGTGATCAAATTAATTAGAGTCATTGGAAATTTTAAATGGGCTAAAGCTTTTTGAGCATGTAGATATTCACTCTGTCGTAAGCTTTTGACATATCTTGAAACAGGATATGAAGGTCTTATTTGTAGGATTTATCTGAACTTTTCTGTAAATTATGATACTCAAGCAAATTATTAATAACATGAAGAGGTTCAAGAGTAGATTGATATGGAAGATCAGCAAAATTCAAACTGGACAGAACTTTGTTAGCAATGAGAATCTTTTGTAATCTTGCGTTAATAATTTTTGTAAAAGCTTTGCAGACAGTTTCAAGTAAAGTAATAGGTCATGTATTGTTGAGATCGCAATTCTATGGTTTTAGCTTGGGTATCGGATATACGTGAGCTAAGTTCCATTGCCTAGGTGTAAGACTAGACGTGAAACACACACATATTATATGATATAAAAATTTATTTGCTAAAGAGCCCATTTTTTTAGAAACTCATTAGAGACGTTAGAGGGGTCAGGAGCTTTTTCATTAGGTAGATGTTTGATAACGAGATGCCATTCATTATAAGTGGGAGGATCTAAGACTTGATCATAAACATCATTATTAATGGTAGGAAGAGGACGATAAAATTCTTTCCATTGGGACCAGAAATTTGAAAAGTTAGGAGTTGTTAGATCTGTAACTTCCTTGTTTAACAAGACAGCCACTGTTTGAAAATGTAAAGTGGTAGCTTTCTTTAATTTATTTTGGTCTAGTTCTATATACGAGTTCTGGTTAGGTTTATTAATAAGAATTTTATCGAGAACGATAGTATTTCTAGACTTCTCTAAATACGAGTCGATCATTTTTGAGGGAGCGTCTTTATAGTTGTCTGCTCGTTGTGAAATGAAAGCTTTGATTCTATCAGTATTTTCTTGTTTAGACACTATTTTGAGTTTGCTTTCCAGTGGTTTAATAATAAAAGCTTTCAGGTTGATGAGATACGAATGAAGATCATTTTGATAAAACAAAGAGTCTATAGAAGCTGATGATATTTTATGTTCTATAGCAATGGCCAAGACTAAAGATGGGAACTGTAATTAATATGTTGCAACTTTTAATGTTGCAACTTACGTTGCAATTAGTTTTAACCTATATATGTTGCAACTAATTTTAGCTTATGTTGTAACATTTTGTAAATTTGAAATCAATTGCTGTACCATCTTTATGCAAGACAGATATATATAGAAGCTTTGTAATAAAAAGATATAAAAATTAAAAAAATTTTTTTGAGTTAATATTTATTTTTAATTTATTTTATTAAAAAAATCATATTTATCTTATAAGGTAAAATTTTAATTTTTTTTAGTGTTTTATATCTTTTTACTGCAAATGTTCATATTCTATAAAGTTTTTAACTTTATGAAGTTTTATATTCTTCAAGTATTTCAAAAAACTTGACTTTTGAATTAGTAATACACATCTTATTTTTATTTACAATTCATTTATAAAATAATATGAAATTATTACTAAAGAACTAAAATATATAATGTAGCATAAAATAGTAATATGTATAAGATAATATTTATCCTATAAGATAAATAAGTTATTTTAAGACATATTCTAATATCTGTATTCCAAATATCTTACAAAAATTATTTTACATATTTCTTTTTTATATAAATTAAAAAAATTTAAATTTTATAAAAACTAATATATTTCAAACTATTTATTATTTTAAATTCAAATTTTAAATATCTCTTTACTAATAATATTAGATAAATATATTATTAAACAAAAGAAAAGTTTAATGCTAATAATTTTAAAATTTATTAGTATTATTATAGGAATATATTAATAATTAAATCATTCGATCATATTCTATTAGTTTTAGGATATTGTGTGTTATTTTTATTTAATTTAATTTTAAGATTTGTTAGCATTTATTTAGACTTTTATAGATTAATAGCCTAATTGTTTTCTGTTTAAATTGCCTACCAGCCAATTTGTCTTCTGTTTAATATGCCATCTAGTCAGCATAGCGAACATGCTTATATCACATGTCGATCTTTTGCCGATCATATATAACTGAATTATCACATTATATAAAATCAGCCGATCTAGACTTTAAAGCTTTGAGCAACAATGAATATGCTCGGGCGAACTCTACAAATCAATAAATTTGATATTATAGATTATGCAGAATATGATTTTAAAACAGTTAATCTAAGATTAAACGTTGTGCATAAGTTAGCTTTGGGCTGAAATAATTAATTATATAATTTATATAATAAATTTATTATTTTAGACTTCAAAGGTTGAGGA